CTTATATGTGTTCAGGCCGTTGGGCTGGCTGGGCTGGCTGGGCTGGCTGGGGAGGCTGGCTATGGCGTCGCCCACATCCCAGACATCCAGCCCCGCATCCGAACAGAGTGGGGTGAGGTCGAGGGCTGATGACTTAGCGGCCAAATGTTTCGCTCCAAGCGTCTGTACACCACTACGGTCCACAACACTGCAGTACACAGAACACCACGGTTGGACGCCCAGTGTCCAAAACTGCATACCCGGAGAGGCTAATGAATCCAACGGCTGGAGAACGTCCAGCACTAAGCCCTCGAATACCAGTTCCTGACTCAAGTCCTCACTTATCGCATCACTTGTCACATCACTTGGCGAAGCAGTTAGGTCCGTTTGCGAGAGGGAGTCTGTTGATGGGACGGAGACTGTTGGTGAAATTGAGCTGGCCGCATAGGTAGGTTTTGGGGTCGCTCTGCGTTTGTCTTTAACTGGCTGGACACTCCGGAGGCGTCGGTAGCGTTCTAGGGCGTAGTTGATTAACGACCGTTCCAGCTCTTCCCTCAGCGCTCGGTTCCTCGCCAGAGCATGTGCCAAAGCGTGATCTTGTAGCAGACAGATTCTTACCACGTCTCCCGTTCCCGGTTGGACGAACACTCTCCAGACGACGAAGTCACGATCTTGAAAAAAGGACTCCCGCACGGAAATGATGGTTAACTGCAATCCCACATGCGAGGGACAAACTTTCAGACGACCACGCTCCCTGTCATTATCCTCATGACTGTCATCATCCTCATGACTGTCATCATTCTCCATTCCAGCCAGTGCAACAAATTGGCTATGGAACATCCTGAAGTCTTCTTGGTCCATCCATTGTGGAGGGCAGCTTTCTGACGACGTACTGTCGTCTGACATGAGTATGTTTGTCTCTAAGGTGTTGTCTGACTCTAAGTAGGCGTTGTCTGACTCTAAGGTGTTGTCTGACTCTAAGTAGGTGTTGTCTGACTCCAAGTAGGTGTTGTCTGACTCTAAGGTGTTGTCTGA